TCCACTGATATCTAGGCTGCTGCTGTGAAATAAGTGGGTCAGACTGCATCTAAACCCCTCTGGGCTGCCGTGCAGGGACACAACCTGACACCAACTGCCATCAGTTTTAACGCTTTTCTCAGGAATCTTCATTCACCAGAGCTCCCGACAGTCCTAAAGCCCCAGAAATTTGGAGCACAGTGCTTAGAGAGATCAGTATGTTCAGGCTGTTTGAGGGTCCTTTGCAGACACCGAGAACACCACCTCTCCCGGCTAAAAGAGGAGACAAGGCTATGCATAGAAAAGCAGCTGTACCCGACAACCAGGCCAAAAGATATGGGGATGGCCTTGGAGAAACATCCTGTTATTTTCGCCACATACCTCTCGCACAATGATTAGTTGTTGGATGAAAGGCTGCTTACAAAGGACGACACACCACGAGCCAGCTGGAGCCATGGCTATCAACACAAGGACAAACAGCGTGGCGGGAGGACTGGTGCTAGATTAGCCTGACAGATGGTTTATCTGAGGCTCACTTTTTTTTTTGATAAAATGCAATAGCACAGAAGCAGCAATCTGTCAATACCAAACCCTCATAGAGAGGGATTTGCACAAGCACTAAGCCGTGGTCCGTCTGTTGTTACTGCTTCTGTCCTCACATGCAGCTGTGCAAATCACACAGACTGTTTCAGCCAGCGATGAAATACCGCTGTCCTCAGGATGGGGCACGGCAATGCCAAAGTAGCAACTGGCAGCTGAGGAGGAGAAGGCTGAGGAGCCCTAACCCCACTGTTAGCAGAGAAACAAGAGTGAAAAGCAGGAACTAAGCAGCAGAACATTTCCTTTTATATAGCACTACTTGCCCTAAGGGAAACACAAAGGGAATTGCGTACGCAGAACTCACTGATTGAGAAAACGTTCTCCTCCTCTTTGGTGATTCTGCAGTGTTCCAGCAGCAGAGCTCCAATGGGCTGGAAAAGACCCAGAGAGAGGGTTCAACCCATGTCATCCACCAGCACGACAGTGGTCTGAACCCACAGAGTTTGCCTAGTGCCTTTTAAGCAAGTTTCATAACCAGGTGCTACTTTTAAAGTAATGCAGTCTAATTCCATGAATGTTCCATGTTCTTTTAATTGACCTTTTTGCGTCTACTGACGTGCTTCATTGTGTTAGTCTTACCCGTAACACCTTGTGTACATTAATTAGGTGTTAAACATTTCTACTTGCTCAGTCTGGGCTTTAGCATTCGTTTCTGTGATGCGAAGACAGCAAAGAAGTTTACTTCCGTGCTCAGTAAATCAAACAAAGATGAAATATTTAACACGACACAAAGAACAACTCACGTTATACTCTGCAAGGGCAGTCCTGAAGCCTTGCAAGAGGTTAAGAACAGTGTGTTGATGTACTAGAACAGCTCAGGTTAAACAGACAAACAGTAGGTACTATTTGCTCACCAGCGCGCACTGAGCAAGGACATGAGAACCAAAGGGTGATACAAACCATAAACAAAAGCAAGCCACAAGCGAATTGTTTTGTCCAAGCCAAACAAAATGCGAGAGGCAAATGAGGCAGCAGAGAAGATACTGAAAAACCTGGTTTACTATGTATTTCTGGCACAACTGTTTTACATTAGCATCCTCCACCTACCTGCTCAACTATTTTGATCCATCCAAGAACATAATCTCCCCTCCCTCAGAACACACAAAAATGCTTACAAATAACCACCAGAAAAGAAGAGAGCAGAGCAGCACTGGGTGGCAGTGAAGGAGACGGGCCATGTCCTCAAGGGCCTCATCCTACACCAGCGCAGGAGCCACAGCTGAGACTACAGACACGTGCCAGAGCGATTGGGGCGTCTTGGCCCCACCCAGAGAACTATGACTGCAGGTCTAGCGAAGCAGCGATAAGTGACTGCACTTTGGCAGAGAGAAAAGGGTACTTCTGAAAACAGGCGCTCAGCCATTATCAGGATAAAATATTTATGATGGACTAAGTCTAAACATGCCACTAAAAGCTTTCCAGTTCCTTTGTTTGTAGTACCAGCATGCACACAGCACCTTTCTTCACACTCATTATTAAGATTGCTTATATATTAATTTTCCAACAAGAGGATCTTTAGCAACAGTTATCAAGGGATTCATTAACAATCACCAGATCTCAGCAGTGGCAAAGCCAGAAACAGAACGCAAAGGTCCCATCCCTCGCTGCTTTTTTTCTAGAGCCAAGCAGGGCTTCTGCATGCCCAAACTAACAATATTGACAGGGTATGGCCACAAAAGTTTCCCAGTAACAGTGAGCATTGTACACAAGTAAAATTCCTGGCATAAAAAAGAAGAAACAATGCTAATGCTTCTCTTGGATGAGCAAAATATAAGCTTCCCCTCTCAGTTTAGCACAATAAGGCACAGTCCTACAAACAAACATCACAGACTCCACCTTTTGCAGTTTTGGGGCAACTGTTATGTTTAAAAGATTTATTCCAAGCTCACAGGAGAAGCACCAGGGTGTGGTTAGATGGCAGTGCTGCTTCTCACCCCCACGAGTTTTCGCCGAGTTGATGGAAGAGGAAACGTGGGCGCTCTGTCCTGGCTCTGGCAGCCTGTTCCCGTACCATTTTACAAAGCCCACGCAATCAATTCACAGAAAAAGAAGAGAGAGGGAGGAAAACAAACAATGACAACAAAAAAAGCAGATTCCATACCTCTGCTTCATCTGTCCGGAAGTAGAAGAGAAAGTTGACAACGAGCTTCACGAGGCGTTTCTTTAACACTGCAAAAAAAAAGAGCATTGAGGTAGGCAGAAGGGCCAAGCCAGCCAGCACAGGGGACAGAGGGAAGCCCCTTCCACCCCTGCCAGCACCCAGCGCGGCGCTCATTCAACCAAACCTACGGGGAAGCTCCGGTATGGTTTAGACTTTTGGTCCTAGAGGAGCTCGCGACCCTCAACCTGCTCGGGAAAGGCACCCTCTGCATCGACCCCGCCATGCTGTCCTCGGCTGAACTGCAGCCACAAGGTGACAGAATTCGCTTTGCAGCTTCGAGTGGCTTCTGGGCAGACAGAGCCCACAGCACTGTGTCACTGACACGCAGACGACGCAGCTGCCCAGCCGACAGGACCTCCGCCAACCCGAGGGAGTGCTCCAAATCCCGGGGGATTCCCTGAGTGGGGCTGTCAGCATTGATGTCACCTCTGAGGGACAAAGTCCCCCAGAATGCTGCCAAGTCCTTGGGGGGAGGAAAGACCCTGGACAAGGGAGCGAGTTCCTTTAACGCTCGTACTCCAGTGCTGGTTTGCAAGGAAATTTGCTGGGAGATTTCAGGAAACAGCCTCTTCCTCTGATCCCCTGGTCCCTCATGGCCCCTACAGCCACACTGGCCCCAGCCACACCCCATCCCTCCACTCCAGCCCCCCCCAAACCAGATACCACCACTAATGCTCCCCAGTCCTACACACCAGTCCTCCCAGTCCTGCCTCCCAATACCCCTAGTCCTGCCCACCCAATACAGCCAGTCCTAATCCACCCCCCTACCCCTGCCCCGCCCAGTACTCCCAGTCCAGCCCTGGTCCTACGCGCCCTTTCCCAGTCCCGATTCTCCAGTACCACCAGTCCTGCCCCCCTCCCAGGGCGCCCAGTTCTCCCAATCCCTCTCCCCAGTCCCCCTCTGAGCCCTATCCACCCAGCAATTCCAGTCCTGGCCCTCCACTCACTCCCAGTCCTACCCTCCACATCCACCAGCCCCAACCCCAGCCCCTCCTCACCGCTCCCCTTCTTGGGCACCCGCATCAAGACCTCGGCCGCCTTCTCGGCGGGCTGCCGGGCCAGGGACAGCAGCTCCCGCTCGTTGTACCGCATGGCGAGGTGTCCCCCC